CCTAAATTAACAGTTCTGGACCTTCATTAACTCACTTGTTTACGCACAGCCTCCATCATCCTGTCGCTGCTGCAGTCAATACAGAACGGCGCCAGGGGATGGGACCAGCACACAGGTGCCCGCACCACTCCACAGCACCCCCAGACCTTCAAGCCCAAGCCGGAGCAACCTCCGCTCGCCGCAAAGCGCTGATGAATTCTGCACCGCTCTGCTTTTCCAAGCCTACCCACACTGGGAATATTCCCAAACACGTGCTTTTCGGGATGCCTGCTGCTTGTCAGGTTATAAAGTTAGCAGTCACCTAAAGTGACCGGGCATCCACCTGCCTTGTTTTGCTGTTTTTCTTAAGAAAATAATCGAGCTTCCCCCAAATAAGATGCAGTGGAACGAGATGGAAAGCGGGTACTGTCCCTGACATTTCTAAGCACAGCAGATGTACTTAACTGGCTCTCGTTATTTATTTATTTACTTGTGTAGAGAAAATGCTTGTTACCGAAGAAACCCAGATGCTGATAAGATGATGAGAGGTTTGGCATGCTGGTTGATGGTCTCACTTTTGCTTATCCTGAGTGAATACAAGTATCTATAACTAAATATTTCCCTTAGGGTACTGATGACTGAGGTATGTTTATTGCATTGAGTGAATTTATATATATAATCAGCACAATAAACATTATTAAATTGTCTGAGTAAAATCAAAGCATGAAACACACAGTCAGTCCTGAATTCTAATGATGCTGAATGCCCATGATTGCATGGGGAAAGGATCTTAACAAGCCTTGATTTGAGCTTTGGCATCCGCCTCACAAATCACACGAAATGTTCTCTCTTTAATAGTGCTGAATATTGATAAATGTCTCTGCACGGCACAACAGGGAAGTTGGTCTCTATTGGCAATCTTTACCAAAGTGTGTTTTTTCCTTCTCTACACTCAAGGGTTTACCCTGAATGATTTAATTATAATTTTCCTTGTGTAAGACAAATTAAAGAGGAGAGTAGGAGTGTCATGCCAAAGCAGATTATTTATCTCCTTAACAGATTGCTGTGCACCAAACCCCAGAGCTGCTGCTGCTGCTGCTACTTACAGAAACTGGGCGAAATGTGGGACAAAAGCATAGACATATAATATACATTTACAGCCCAAATGAATGAAAGCATTAACCCATTATTTATAGCTGGAATTGTTTCATTTCTGTGAAAGCCATACACACAGAGCACACAGAAACCAAGAGCAGCCCCACGATGCTTCCCTGGCCTGTGCCCAGGTGCGGAGGATGCCTCCCGCTTTCGAATGTATTTTTGCTTTTCAAACATTCCGGGGTGACTCTGGCCACCCGCCTGCCGTTTGCTTTTTTGCCATAAAGGAGAACTTTTTTTGTCACTCGGCTCCAAGCACGGCAGCCCCGCAGTGGCCGGCGTCACCGGTGACACCAGACCTGCGTCCCCGCAGCCTGCGCAGGACGAAAGCTTTGCTGTACGCAGCCGTGAGGCTGGGCCCGTGGCACAGCGACGCGTGGGCATGCCGAGCAGCCAATGATCGTTTCTCCTGCTATTTTAAACCCCTTGTTTATAACCAAAATGTGTTTTTACCCAAGACGTATAGCAGAGCTGCTGCTCGCCTGATGACTTTTACACAGGTGCCTCTGCTGCCGCTGCGGTCAGCCACGTGCCTCCTGTCTCACGGGTCTCGAGCAGCCTCGCAACCTGACCTGTGGGATCAGGAACCCCGTAAAACACAGCCTGACCTGCCCCAGTGACGTGTGCTAGAAATGACAGTGACAATAGTAACTCCCACATAACCAACCTGCCTCCTGTAGCCCACTCCTTCTCAAAAGCCCAAGAGGAACTGCCGCTGCGGTCAGCCACGTGCCTCCTGTCTCACGGGTCTCGAGCAGCCTCGCAACCTGACCTGTGGGATCAGGAACCCCGTAAAACACAGCCTGACCTGCCCCAGTGACGTGTGCTAGAAATGACAGTGACAATAGTAACTCCCACATAACCAACCTGCCTCCTGTAGCCCACTCCTTCTCAAAAGCCCAAGAGGAAGGGGGGAGGGGGGGGTGTGAAACAGCTTTACAGCACACCCTAGTTAATGTTATTACCTGTATATGATTATTTATTGCTGCTGGGCAGCCGTTATGATGTGGCTGGGGGGCCAAAAGGAAGGGGGGGGAGGGGGGGGTGTGAAACAGCTTTACAGCACACCCTAAAAGTTAATGTTACCTGTATATGATTATTTATTGCTGCTGGGCAGCCGTTATGATGTGGCTGTGGTTAACCGTTAGGACACTTACAGCTTTTACTATGTGCTTTATACTGTTGTTTAAATCTAAATAAATAGCTTTTTGTTGTATCAGACCAAAGCTAACAGCCAGTTGCACTGAAGGTGCAGGAACAAGAAGGGGGAAGCCACAACCCAAAAAACCTGCCCTGGCCAGCCCAAGCCGCGGACTTGTGTGATGGGAGGCAGAGGGCCGACAGCTCCCTTGTGAGCCCCTCCAACAGCCCCATCTGACCCAAGCTTGGGCTCGGGACCACCACCACAAGTCCAGTTGTATTCGCAAGCTCAGTTGTGGTGCTGAACCAGCTGGGTACAAGAACACGCATACGTTTGTCTCCAAGTCTAGCCAAGTCATGCTCCCACCAGACCCGTGATTATTTCTAGTCTTAACCCTTGCAATCAAAAAATGACCAAAACGCTGCTCATGCCTGTGCTCTCTCTTTTGTAAAAGTATGCTAAAATTTCACCTTCTGTGGGCTTTCAAATATACATCTGACTGCGGAGCACAGCTACTCTTTTCTCACTGCTCACTCACCACCCCGAACTCCCCGCCTGTAGATAAATATCCTTTCAGAAAGGAAGCCAGCGCAACACATCTCAACAAGAGGAGTTTCTGTGTCATATGAAATCCAGGCAGGCACCACGGTGCCTGATGAGACTGCAACAAAACCCTTAAGTGCATCAGTAGGCATTCTTCTGTGTGTAGTCTCCTGCTCTACTTATGGATAAAGATGTAATTCAATCACTGCAGCAAATGGATGGCATAAACCTTCCACGTACCAAATAGAGGCAAGATAAAGCCAAGTCTGTAGCTCTCTTATTTGTATTCCTAAATATACCTATTTTTGTATTTTGATATTGTAAAGAACTCAATAGTAAGGAAAGTATTATGGCAAGCTTTAACAATACAGCTATCAATTCAACCACTAAGGATCTGAAGTTTTCTAACCTCTACAGTCTCAAACAATACCATGGCATGTTTATGCCTTCCGAATTAATTTATTTGGAACTTTACTAATAAAAACATATGTATCGCCTTGTTTGTAGATCCCAATTGCCTCCAGGCCACAATTACAGGACTCAGACACATGGATTTCCAGTTCTGCTTGACAGTATACACAGAGAAAATTCTTACTTTGGAACAGATTCCCGTATTTCCACTGCATTTCAAACTTAACAGCAATGGCGTACTGTTTCCTCGGTTAGATTGCCACTAGCAGACAGCACATGCCTCTGTTCAGTGAAAGAAGATCCATTTCACTGCATGGGTTTTTGTTTTATATACTCGGTAAGAAAAACACAGATAAAAAATTTATTGGAAAGTCATAAACCCATCTTGTTCAGCTCTATATGCAGCAAAAAGGGAATTTAATTGTTTAATAAACATCAAATTGTTTTTAGTATCCCATGTAAGTCTTCATGAAAATCATGTCCTTGACACTTACATGCATTATAAATGTATACGCTGATGTTCCCCCACATGTCCTTGCAATGGATATAAAATGATGCCTTACACACACAGCAGTTCTTTCAACAGTGGGTGTGCTCTCCTTTAAAAATCTATCTATTCCCCACAGCACTATTTTCTTAATATTAGAAAGATATAAGAGGTATTTATACAGCTTCCCTATCAATCTACTTTCAGACCACCAGAAATATAAACTCTATGGCTTAAAAATTCCATTATCCTCTTTCTAATGAATGAAAGGAGGATGGAAAGACAAAGCCATCAGTTTCCATAAAATCCAGCTTTCACTAGTGTCTGCTATAACATTTCTAGATGGGCAAAGGGACTCTCCTGAATGCAAAGAAGCACTGCCCTCCCCGCTGCGCCCACGCTGCTCGCGCACTCTGGAGACCCTTCTCCTCCTCCTCCTCCGCAGCCGGCAGCGACGCCGAGGCTGCAGCAGGCACTGGCACCCACGGCCCGAGCTCCTGGGACTGTCTATCTCACCGTAAGCGAAAGTTATGTTGTTAGACACGCCTCAGTGAAATCTGGGGGTGTAAAGAAACAAACCTGCAATAAAGCATCCTTCAGAATAAAGCAGAGCCCGCGCCGAGAAGCACGTCAACAGACAACCCCTGATTTAAGCCATTTCTTTTAACAACGCAAGCCTAGCAAGTATAAATTAACTCACACTTTTAAAAGCCAAACACCACCAGTTAGCTAATTTTATCAGCACTTTAAAAAAATCCACTTTGTTTTAGAGAAACCTGGTGAACTCAAGCCTATCCTGTCTTGTGAAAGCAGGTAAATACAGAGTAAAAAAAGGCAAACGTAAAAGTAAAAAAAGATGAGATGGGGCACTGAAATTTAGCAGAAAAACGGGTGGTAAAACAGCCTGTACTGACCAACAGATTTTTTTTCCTCACCTCCAGCCTGCAAACCCAAAGCACATCGAGAGTAACACCACCCAGGATGCAAAACTCAAAAAAACCAGCTTACGCTCTTCACACTTCGCCCAATACGCTTATCCAATGCACTTCTAATTAGCTAATTGTGCCCACATTGATCCAATTAACAAGCCATAAAGATCTGAACAAAAGGAGCATATTCTGCCCAGTGGAGACTCTATTCAACCACGCCAAAATCGGAGAGAGCAAGACGTGGAGGACGAAACCGAGGCCAAGGCGGTTGGCCACCGCTCCCACCAATTTCGCCATCGTTTCGGCACGCTGTGTGGAGATGCTCACGGGTGGAAACCCCACCGGCACCTACCTCTCCCGTTTAGGAGTGTGGACCGATAGCTGTCCGTTAGTTGAGGCGTGCGGGTTGATGATTAAGGAGGTCTTAGACGGCGCGGAGGAGGAGACGCAGGTGGTGGACAGGTCCAGGCTGCTGTGGTTGTTGCTGGCTGCCTCCTCCGCTGTGTGCGAGCTTGTCACTTCCTTCCAGAGCTGCTGCAGTTCTGTTGGAATCATGCCTGAAACAAACAAATTGGATAATTAAATCAATTAACAGCTAATTCGGCCGTCTTCAAACAGTAATTAAATCAAAGAGTCAGTAAACAAAGCCTAGTGTTAGTTGTGTGTGTGTGTTTTTGCGCATGAATTTTTTTTTTTTTTAATAACTAAAGGCTAATACTGAACACTGCACGCCTCTGCTAAATTTTCCGGTGTGACACCTGCAATACCTATGTAAGGCAAAATCCAGCTGAGGGGCAGGGGGGTCCACACAACACGACACCCACCCCAAACTCCGTGTTAACTGTTATTATTTTTTGTAATTAAAATTACAGAGGGCCCACTTCCAGAGTCCCTGCTCAGGCAGAAATTGCCCCGAGCTCACAGCAAGGCTGACAGCAAAGGTGGCCAAGGGCTACTCTGCAGACAGCTGGAGAAATTTTTATTATTTTTTTTAAAATATACTATTTTTTTTTTTTTTTTTTAAGGAAAGTGAATACTTGCTAACCTGTTTTAAAAAGAAAGGAAGGTCTTAGGGAAAAAAAAACCCATACTCAGCTTTATTATTATGACAACATGAACCACAATATGACTAATTTTGTGCTTAAGTTTTAAATGATGACAAATAGCTTTGTTATTAAATACAGTTTTTATTAATCACTTTTAGACATAAATTATGAATTCATATTGTCTTCCTGAAATGCTTTTCAAATTTTAACAGTCAAATTGATTATACTATGATTATTTCATTAACACACCTATCTTTCTCATTAATTTTGGTTTCTCGAACTGCTCACTTAATTGATGGATGTGTCTACTGAAAAACTGTATAACTTTCTATACAAGTAACACTATTATTACTGTCATTTCTTAGTATGGCTCATGCTAATGAGCCATTCAAAAGTAAAATGAAAACATAAAATAAGCTTCAAGAAATAATAATAAAAAAAACTTTAAATGTTTTTTTAATTGTGCCAAAATGGACACGAGGCTTAGGACATCGCATTCAATGAACAAGGCAAGTGAGAACTTTGCAAACTCCAGTGGGCCAAACTGAAGGCTGGAAGGGCGTCAGCGTGACACGGGCTCACGCTGAGATCATGCTTTTGGATAAAGCTTATATTTGTGACATGATCAAACAAGTCAAGTTTCTCTCACTGAAGACTATTTCAGTGCTCTTTCAGAGAAGGCCATGGGAAAAAATTAGCAGTAAAGATGCATCACTTAAATATTCAGGGGAAAAAAATAGTAAAAGCCAGTGTCTGTGTGTTTTTGAAGAGGTTTCTCATCACCCTGCTTCCAGATCATCGTTTGGATGACTGTTCATTGTTTCAGCGTATTGTAGCACTGGAGCTATCCTAAGGAAACCTGCCATTTTCTGAGCGTATAGCAGCAGCTCACACAGGCATGTATCTCACCAAACCTAAGGTATTGCAATAAAAAAAAAAAAAAAAAAAAAAAATGCATTATGCATTATATTCATTTGAAACACATAATAAAAAATGCCAAGGTCTAAATTTAATTTATTTTTGTCATTTAGAATACAATGGATAGATAATCATCTCAACGTGATCAGCCAAACATCTTTACTTTGCTAAACTGTTAAAGATTTTAATTATGCTAGCTTTGGAGAGCACTGGTCTAATGAGGCGATAGACTCCAGAGAATCTAAGTGGTTAAGAACTGTGAAATGAGTCTGATAGGATTTTTTTATATTCACCGTGGATCGTTTGCATATCAAAGAGGAGTAAATTATTGCACGACAGACCAATAACCTTCCCCGCCTTTCCGAGAGTAGCATTAACAAAAACAGTTGGTCTCCGGTAACGGTTCACTACGAAAAAATGCTAAAATCCTTAAGTATCTGCAATTAATATATATTATGAAAGAGGCTTCAATTTATACATTAAGTGATCAGATATTCTTAAGGCACATCCGTTTCTCTAAAGCCACGTCATTTTCCTTTCATCAGACCCAAATGCCAATTATATTTTGATGGATTTTGTCCCAAATGAGCATTTAGTTATTAGACGTATTCAATTATTACTTGTCCCCTGAAATTAAACCTCTGAGCAAATTAAACAAAGAAAAAGGTCAGTACACAAGCCTATGTCCTGTTTTGCTGTATCGGGGCTATTATTTTCAAACACCTTGCGAAGTGACAGTGTGGGATGTATTTTTATCTAACACGCCTGACAGGACTGTCTGCGCACTAACAATTACCTGTGAGCACGGCTGACCCTTACACCACTGTTTACTCAATTGAAACAATAGTGAATAGACTTGTCTGTTGATGATAACATATTGATATGAGACCATATGAGTCGACACCTATTTTTATTTTCCAGAATAAGCAAATAGGGAAAGAATAACTGGCCCTTTTTTTTTTTTCCTTCCTTTTTTTTTTTTGCCACCACCCCCTTATCTGGATTTCTGCAGGTTTTTAATTAAGCGACAGGCTAGCACCCACTCTCCTCTCCCCGTCCCCCTTTCTCCTCTCCCCTTCCCCTCTCCTCCCGGTCACTTCTGGATCTGCTAATGCTTTATCCCAAGGGAAAGCTTGCAAGTGTTACAGCCGTTAAAATATACATACACATAATATTTATACCTCGCTGTAGACCCTCTAAAAGTCAAGGGGTTTGGTCTAACTTCCTATACAAGTGTAACTTGTATTAGCGCTAACGACAACTATACCGCATATTGAAAGAAAAATAAAAAACACCCAGTTGTGCGGGTGAAAAAAATGCCGGAGATAATAAAGAGGATTTCAGGCTGGGTGACATTAAATTACAGAGTTAAGTGTGATGTCATACGTGACCGCATACAACCCGTCGCTTAAAAATGACCACATCACTGACATCAAAATAAAACTGAAAAAAACCCTTCCTCCTCCTTCCCCAAATTTAGTTCTTTCAGAATAATTCTGGAGAGAATTCCTAACTAGCCTGTCAAACTGGGCAGCTGGCAGGTATGCTCATTACTCATCCGGCAAAATGGTTAAATAAAATAATAGAACAAATGGTAAAAGCAAGTCAAATAGATCCACGAACACTTGCAATAAATTATGTAATTTACCATTTAACAGTTTCATTTTAACAGCGAGAGCTAAATTTTAAGTCAGATTCCCAGAACTGCGCTGCAATTACCCGAGATCGCTACTGCTGGTGCTGCAACTTCGTAGGTACCAGTAACGGGATTGAGACCTGAAACTGCCAAATCTGTGGGAGCAATCAGGCACCCAGATGTCTCAGTCCTATTATTTTCACTCACTGGTGATCTGAAGTGTGATTTGCAGTTTCATTTTGCAGATACTAAAGATCTAGCTCTCGCAGCTCAGAACACTGCTGAAATGTGGTTTATTTTTAAACTGCTACTATGTACAGATGTAAAATCCAGATTATAGATGTGTCTAAATACAAAGCAGAAAAGATTACACAAATATAACATTAAAGGATGTGCTATTTTGTGTAAGACAATAGGCAAGCATTAAAAACTAAAATAAAACTAAAATACGGCTTTAAACAATGTATTAGTTCTAAAAACATAACAGAAAAATCACTTATGAAGTAGCATTCTCTCCTTAGAAACACTTATTACTATTACAGATACTTAAGAATAAAAGCAAAATGCTTTTAACCGAATTCATAGCTACATTTACTAGAGGGATGATTTTTTTTATACACACTTTCTAGTATTTGTCTGTCTAGCAAACTGTTCTGAAAACAAAAGGGCATGATATATGTAATTTTTTTTTTTTTAAATAAGAAGTGTGCCTTACCAATTATTTTAAGCTATAGCCCTGGTTCTTCATTGCATTTTTCAGGACAACTAGTCCCCTTCATTATGAAAGAAAATGTAGGCACAGGTTTAAAAAATGTATGTTGTGGGGACAGTTGACAGATTACTGCTCACAGAACTCAATTTCCCAACCCCAGGTATCACCGGCTCAAAGACAAACAGAGTTGCTCAACCTCTTTGTGTCCTTGTACCTCCATACCCAGGTGACCATGTTCAAGCAAGCAGAAAGTTGATTTAAACCTCATAATGACATCAGTTTTAAGCCACCGTCTCTCTGATAAAAAAAAAAATAAAATATCGTGCTGTATTGCAACCTGCCTGAATTCTCAAGTTACTCTTTCCTCCCGCCGCCGAGCCCCCGGCTCCAGCCGCCCCCAACGCTCGCAGCTCATTTCCCTGCGAGAACCAGCCCTTTCTGCTTATGTTTATGTTGTCTCCAGCGTGCAAGTCGGCACCCCTTACGTTTTAAATACGCTTCTCCGCAAGGACTAATAGTTACACTACCCTGCTAACCATATCAATCAATGCCACGACTGCTGAATTACCTACTGGTGTCTCCGATGTGTTACCGCACAGATTACACTTCATGCATCACCACATTCATTTCTTTCACATTACACATGAGCGTGTCTTGTCACTGCCCAATTGCCCTCCTTTGGACAGCTTAACTGATGTACTATACAATGAACCTTACCGAGCAAACTTAATAGTATAGGAGCTGTGGGAAAAATTAGAAAGGTTGAAGCTTGAGTCCGGTGGGTGTGTGAGAACAGCCTGGGATGCTTCCAACAATAAATCTGAAGTGTAATTAATGCATATTACAACATTTTGCAAGTATAAATGGCATTTTGTCTACGTGCCCTTTTTCCTGGACCCGTTTCATGCCTTCTCCCCTCCGCACCGTGCATCGACGGTGCCCGACCAACTACCACCCCAGGCCTGATCCTGCAGCTCCCAAGCAGGCACCACTTTCCCGCGCATCAGCCTCCGACTCACGCACAGGACTAGTCTAGACCAGGTGTTTGGCTTTGGGATGCCGGAAAGCTAAACCGAGTCTTGCAGAGGGAGGTGCGAGGTCCCCAGAAGCTTTGCCTCTCAAGACAGGAGTTAGGCGCTCAAATACCTTTGTGGGTCTGGCAAAAATAAGCCTAAATAAACCACGCCAGCCACACAGCAAAGCAGACTCCACTTCCCGGGTTTGTCTCCCTTTATCCATGTAAGTTAATATTCACCAGCCACCTCGCTCTCCTTTTGCAGCTACACACAAAAAAGGAGGGTGAAGAACAGAAGCAATTTTGTCCCGTCCCCCCCATTTAACTGAACAGAGCTGAATGTAAACTCATTATCTGGTTTAGCAACTAGTAGCAGCCCTAAGGCCGCTTTGAAGAGCCCAAATCATTCAACCTGAGCCGACTCAAGTTGTTGAGGTGGATGTTTAAATTTATTATGGGGCAAGGGAAGGAAAAGGCATGATTATTCAGAAATACCAGCATCGTGGCTGAAAGACCCGGTCTTCCCTGAGCCATGCCAGCTTTGAACAATCTGCCTTCATCACAGCAGCCAGAGCTCAGACAAGCCTGTTAAAAAGTCCCAAGGCTTGCAGACAAACCCAGTTTAAAAAAAAATATATATATAAATTCAAGCCAAAGAGGAAAAGAGAGAATAAAAACCCCAAGTTATAATCTCTGTCGAAAGTATTGTGATTTAAGTAGTTAATACTTTCAATGTATCAATATCTTAAAAAAAAAAAATACAAATAGGGATTTCAGCAAAGCAGTAACTTCTTGCAGAGTGCAGGACTGAATAAAGATGTAGGAGGATCTAATTGTCAATAGCACCATTAAAATTAAACGGAGTTAATCCCAATTTGCCTCAGTGTGGAGGGAGGAATGAAGCTACGATGCACACAGGCAGTGAAATGAAGGCCGTGTAAACAGGCTTGGAGAGGAGACACTGCCACCTCTCCCTCTCCGCTGCAGCAAAGGGCAATCAAATTTCTACAGTTCGGCAGCGTGCGGATCAGAGCTCCTCTGCGCCCAGCTCCTCGCCGGGCTGCAACCAGAAAGGGCCCAAATAACGCATTAAAAAAGGAAAAGCTGCTCTCACACTACCCTTAGCCATGAACCCAGCACCAAGAATCGATTAAGATGCCTCCTGTGAAGGATTTCAAGCTCAGATTAGTACAACCAGCAGCTTCGAGTCCACCAGACCAGCTATAGCTGCGCAAATTGACTCCGAACTCCAACCCGCCTGCCTCCTGCTAGCCAGAGCGGTCCACGATTTCAGCGTTGCCCTTCTCAAAAAATATCTTTATAATGCCCACCCTGCCTGTCAGGATTTTTCTGTGCTTATTATTTTATGAGCCTATGAGATCTCTCCCTCTCTCTCTCTCTCTCTCTTACTGAGGGACAATTTTGTGTGCGTGTGCGTGCATGCTATCGCTTTGCCAGACAGCCGGCAGCTCCCAAACCCCTCACCTACCTTGTGCAAGGGGTTGCAAAGGCAGAGTAGGCTGGCCAGGCTGGATCGTTAGCAGCCCCTGACGCTGCAAAGACAGGAGGTGCTGCTGTTGCAACTGCTGCATCTGTAAGAGTTGTTGCTGAAAGGCCAACTGCTGCGTAGCCACCTGCTGTTGCTGGGGCTGGAAAAGAAAAAAAGAAAAAATAAAAATGCACATTTGTCAATACAGAGCAAAGCATTAACAGAGGATTTACAGGGCTCCTCGTCCCAACACACTTCAACTTCTGATCGCAGTCAGCCGGTATCAAGGCAAGCCAGCGAGCCCACCACCCCATATCAAAGACCCCAAGGCACGCTTAGGCGCTAGAGCTAACCACGGGGCTGCAGTCGATTCCCACCTCCAGTGGTTACTTTCATCCTACCTAAATCCCTCCTGCCACCCCAATTAAATATGTACGCAGCGTTTCCTGGTCCACGCTACCGCGTCACCCTGGTCCACGTGGTCGTGTTTTACCCCAGAAGTGGCTGCATTTCAGCGGTGGGTAAAGCAAACGCTGCTGGCAGCTGTTAAAAGTCCTGGGTAATTCTTCGAGGCAAAGAACATGTGAGAATCACACCACACGATCACATCACACTTAGATGTAATGAAAAACAACCCCGCACTGTGCTCTGTTTCCTCATGCAAGGGTTGTCTCATCTATTAAGGCAATACGACTGGCTTAATTTATGGTATTTTATACTTATTCTCTCTTATTCATCCATCAAGCCCCACAATACTTTGTTATGTTCGGAATTATTCTGTGCTGTATTTAAGGCTGCTACTTCTGCACTTTGAAATTTTTAATTATTCTCACTAGAAAGAAGATGGAGTTGCTTTACTCCATAGGGATGTGAACCTTGAACCTTCGAGGTGTAAAAGAACATGTTGCTTCTCTCACTACTGTACCCGGAGAAGCTTTTAACTACTCTGTTTATCACTTCTGACATAAATAAATGAGAAAAAATCAGACCTTTGAAGAAGAAAAACTTCATCTAATATTGTTAATTAGCCATGACAAACGATGAAATAACATTGTAAATCTTTCATAGAACCAGCCACTAGATTTTAATTACACACATTCATAATTTAGCAAACAACATCTTACTTGAATGTGAGTGTTTAATATGTACAGTACTCCAGGCTTCAGAGTCCTTAATTTTGTTCAGTTAAGGAAGCCTCTAGGTTTTGCTTCCATGCTCATCTTCTATTTTATTTGCTTTGTTCTTTAAAATCCATGAAAGGCTTTGCGTTTTGATAAATATCTTTTTATTTATTGTACAATGACAGGAGGAAAACTTTTGTTGTGTAAAACATCAATACATCATGCCAGTGTTTAGCAGTTCCTTGTGCTAGCCAAAAAAAATTAATGTAGATTTCCTTAGTAATTATCTGAGTGATAGAAAGATAATACAGTGCAGTAGTACAATAAATAGAAGTAAATTATCTAATATCCCTAATCTGCTAGGAATCATACCAAGGTGGAGGTCTTATACACATTATGGCTAACAATTACGGAAAGAAAATTAACTCTTACAAAACTGCGTACTTTCACAAACAAACCCCAGCCAGATCCCAACCTTTCTGTCGCCCTTCCTCGACACCGAGCCGGAGGATCACTGGTCCCATTCCCTGCTGGTGTCAAGCAGGGAAAAAAACCCACCAGAGCTGCAGGAGCGGGACTGACGGACACCAGCCAGGGGTTTGGCCCCCGCCTTCTTGTACCAGCATGCCCCATCAACCTTAACACTGCAACCAACTGTATATCCACGACTGTACTGACAGGAAAGTTGATTTATCTTCTTTCCAAAGAAAATCTGGGACTTCGAGAACACAGTTAAACAAATAGGTGTTTAGATATTCTGAAACTCGGAGAGTTTTCATTTCTTTGCAACAGTTTGCTCAGACAGATCCACTTGCTCAACTATTTGCAACAGCACCAGGTGAATGCAAACCCCAGCAACAGTTATGTTAAGACTTGAAGTAATGTTTGCCTCCATAAATATTCACTTCCTAGATATCGATATACTTAATATATATTTATATATGTATTTTAAATGGTATTACATAAAAATCTAGTTACAGTAAGCTGTTTTATCTATTTGCCATCTGGGTGTAAAGTTAGCTTTTTTCCAAAAAAACCAAACCAACCAAAAACCTTTATATAAATTGACTGATGCCCGTTCAGTTGTCTTCTCAGCTATCCTAAGAAAAGCTCTTGAACGCTCTCTACTTTGAAAAGCCAGGATATAAAAGTATACAAGGCCCATTGTCCAAGAAAGAATTTAAAAGCAAGACACGTTGCCAAACTGCGCTCCCCACCCAGTTACCAAACACAGGATACAAGGCAGTTTGTTTACTTCTCACAATTGAATGCATACAAAAAAGGTCTCAGTGCAGTCCTGTTGTCAGGTCAGTAGTCAGTGTTAAAATGCCGAAATATCCTGATAAAACTTGCATTTTTGATCCCCTCCCTAAAGCTTCTGTCAAAGGTCTGTTTTCCTTTCTTAGGTTACTCCCTACTGCCTAACATAAACTGTCACAACTGCCAGAGGACAAACGGCCCTGTTCGGAAAACAACCCGCTCCGTCCACGCCGCGGCACCAAGCGGGATCCTTCTGCGGCTCCAAAGCCCCCCTTCCCTCGGTGAGACCCGACTTTGCCGGGGCAGAGGCAGCCCCGCAGACGCAGGGCTGAGATCTCGGCCCCGGCGCCTCCTGCTCCTGCTAATGGGCGCTGTGCAACGCTCGCCCTCTGCTACGCCGCGCGGCCCTCGAGTAAAACCCACCAGAAACCTTACTGGGGTCCGCCTGCTATCCTGCGTGGGGGTCGGACCCCTTTTACCAGCGGAGCTTGGGAGAGCTGTTGTGTTTTTCTTCTTTCACGGCGGTACAATAGGACAAGGCACTAACAAAATGACTTGGGGGATGCAGTACATGAATACACTTGTTCCATCTGTCAAGGTACGAACTCGGCCCTCGTTAGCACGGCAGCCGCCCGTCCCCACCACGGCACTGCTCGCCATGTGACCCGACCGTCAGTTTTTAGCGGGGCGGGGGGGGGGAATAAAAGACCACCGTTTGCATGCTAATTCAGCAAGAATAACCTCTTTAAGGCAGGAAAAACGGGGCTGAACAAACCTGCAGGATGAAACGCATTGTTGAAACAGGCCTCTACTAAAACCATCAGCATAAATACCCCCCCCAACCCCTAGAAAAAGCTGAAGAGACTTAGGCCCCTTGTTCTCTTAACAGATATAGTGTTAAAATGCTCTTCTTGAAACAGGAAGGAGTCCTTTCTTATTGTTGCTTTCGATAGTGTAGTATCAGAAGTGTGACCACAGTAAATCAGTGTGTTAGATATTGAAATGCCATCACATTGTCTAACTTCCCTTCTCGTCTTTTTTAACACAAAGTATTTTTTCCTTTAAGCTCCAAGCCCTCATCTTTGTGTCTGAGATGCTCTCCTGTCTGACAACAGCAATTTAGAAGAGTTAACTTTTATCGTTCATTCTGCTGTGTAACTTTCCCCTTCAAATTTCTTTATCTGCCCTCTGAGCTCATCTGAACTTTCATGTTCTCCCAGCATGCAGGCTTGCATTCAAAACTATGTCTAATAGACCAAATAAGAGGTTAATAAGAAGTGGCAACAGAAAGAAAAAATACAATCCCTGGTAACTGATAAGAATGACAGTGGCAGCCCTTTATTGTTTGTCTTCAAATATAGAGTTAAAGATCTTTAAAAAACTAAATTTTGATGCCTTTGAAAAGAAAGAAGCACAAAATAACAACAGGGGGTTATTGCCTGCCAGCCACAGGGGAGAAGCTCCATAATTCTTATTCTCCCTTTTGAAGGCTGTTAGAAATCTGATTCAAAAAAGCAACAGCAGAAGGAGAAAGCCTCTTGAGGCTATCGCCATTTCCTGTGATCATGCATAATGCGTTTCAAAAGTGGGTTTTTACCAATTCTGTTGATCAATTGCACCTCCTTCATATTCCCTCTTTTTTCTGCTGTGTTTACATCTGATGTGACTCAATGACAAGCGCTGTCTGAGACTGTGAAACAGACCTGTCATGTTGATTTATGGGCGCATCAAACCACGACTTGTCCAAACTGAAGCTCGCAGTTCATTAATTAGAGAGTTGTGACTTTGAAGTCAGCTTTCAGACTGTGGTTTTTAACATTTGGCTTAATTTATATGCTCTTGAATGTGGATCTCTAAGGAAAAAACTGAAATTCCCTTCTTGTCTTTGAACTTCTTTTGACCGCACAATAATCATTTCTTTGTCCAGAGTGATGCCTGCATCCCAGAGTCATTAACGCGCATTGAACTGCCACTGATGAGTAAGCCCTACTGAATTAGAAAAACAGCCAGCAAAACAAAGCTGAGAGCATTCTGCACAGTGATATCTCACAATTACATGCCTTCCCTCCCTGTGCCATTTCCATTTTAATTACTGTTAGTCCTTTAGATTTACATTTTAGACACTTTTTAATCTGTTCCCTTTTTATTATAGTGGCGCCCGTAAGCGTGCTATGGTTAAGGTTGTGTCAGCGTTTCCATTATAAACCCCCCTATTTTCAGGGGTTTATAACTCAGCTGGAAAAATTCACTCTGGGTTGAAACTTGGCACAGATGGCACGATTTGCCGAAATTTCGGGGGGCGGAAATTGGTGCGTGCTTCGAGCAGCACCACTTGCAAAGCGACGCACAAGTGCTGCTGCTATCGCAGGACACCACGCAGCGTCTCGTGCCAAGAGGCAGCTTTCTAGGATCTACCTAAGCCAGCAGTGATGTCAGATTAAACATGAAAGTCTCAAACTCTCTGTGACTAGAGGGGCGAACTCAGTGCCTTAAAAATAAATGTAATTACAGCAAAATTAAATTTAAGCACAGCAAAATCAACAAAGTTTAGGACGTGACAGGTATTTTGAAAGGAAAGCGTATGTAAAGGACGGGCAGAAACCACCCTGGCCTGTCCCGTTCCTGCCACGGACCGCGGTGGCATCAGAGCGAGGTCTCCCGACACCATGCCGCGAAAAGGCGGCGTTCCCACACTACCTCTGCATCTCGGACCTTGCTTCTCGGTGTCACCACCAATGCTGTCCACTATGGTCCCTCCCGCTAAGCCCGTCCTGCGAGGAACGAGCAACCAGAACCTCTCCGGTTGGAAACTGCAAGCCCAAACTCAACGTCTCTTGGCATCTTGCCCTGTTCAGAGAGGACAGCACCGTATCTGGGCCTGCCGCCTTGCCCCCTCCCCTTTACAACATAACTAACTTCCAAAAGCACTCTCCCAAGATGCAAGTCTAGATGCTTGCTCCAGTACTCATACTGAACATAAAGGCATGGTCCCCTGCTATAAAATATGTGGCAGCAAGCAAATGGAAAGCACAGGAAAATACAGGCGAAAACAGGACAATAACTCTAAATCTGAAAGCTGAGACCCGATAGAGTCAGTTCAGTTGTGCAATCATTTATAAGATGAATGACAGTTTAATAGCCACTAGACAGTCCCCGGGGATCTGTGGTTTGAAAGTAAAATGGGTATTGTCTGTACCTCTTTAGGCTGTTTTCCAGCATGTTGTTGCTGTAAAAGTTGAAGCTGCAACTGTTCCTGTTGTTTCTTATAAAACTCTTGAAGCTGCTGCTACAAAGAAAAGGAAAGATGGTAAGTAACAAAGTGGAGAGCCAATTCAGTGTCCCTTTTGGTGTAACACACAAACTGTGATTTGAAAAATAGCATCCTTTTATCTGTAATGGTCTGACCTTTAGTTTGAAACTCAACAATAAATTCAGTGCACACTGACTATTCTTGGCATTATCGTTTGAAAAGTAATCTCCAAAATGAACTGATGAAAAACATACCATTTTCTACACAAACTAATTAAAATAAGGCAAAGAATGACCTTTGATTGTAACAACAAAGCCAAAATTCCCTTGCTGAGAGAGCCTGGCGAATCTCTGTTGTGAAACACACATGCTTTCTAAATGATAGGGTTTGACTGTATTAAGTGTTGTTCAATATATGCATAGACATCCTGGGAAATACTCTCCCCCTCCCCGCTCCCCAGATGCGTGCCGTGCAGGCAGCGCTCCGGCACGGGCAGGAGGGAGCGTGGCAGCCAGGAGGGAGCACGCAAGGTCGGGCTGGGGTGGATGCTGAGGCCCCCCCGGGATTCGTGAGCCCCCGCTGTGCCGTACCCCACGATAACGGAGCCTCGGGGCTTGTCGGTGGCCAACTTTCAACTGAAAAAGGGCCATGGGCTGTGAGAAACACCGACACGCCGCACGGCATACGTTGGCTGACATCAAACAGATTAAGGCTTGCAAACCTCTTCACTTTTATTGCCACCGTTTCCACAGTCCTTTACGGTTCCAGATGGACATAACGAGGTCTAAAATGGGAAGTATCGCCCTACTACCTTGTTTATTCCAATTAGTCAGGGCACACCATGCTGTCTGGGGGATGCAGGCAAAAGCAACAGGGACATCTGCCGAAGTCCTGACACTTAAATATGCATCTGTATTATTTAGCTGATCTTGGAAACACTCCTAGCACTGCTCCCTGGATTTGTTTCCAGTAGCTATTTCTAGAATTAAAAACAAAGGAGCAGTCAGCTCATCTCAGAGCACGGCTGCTCCGAGGTACCGACCCGAGACGTGGGCAGCTTCTTTCCCCAGGAACATTTCGGGAGGCGAAGCCCTCCGGTATCTATAGGGGCCGCCTGAGCAGCTGTTAAGAAAACAATTACCTGTTGAAGCATGAGTGCCTGCTGCTGTTGGAGCAGGACTTGGAGTTGCTGGGGAGTTAGCACTTGTTGCTGGAGGATCTGCTGCATTTGCTGGGGAGTGATCACTTGAGGTGTCATCATAGCCACCGACACTGGAACCTGAAGCGCAAGAGGAGAGCAGAGAGGGGGTCAGAGCGCACCGCCGCAGCTCCTCCGTGCCGCCCACCACCCCCGTGCCGGGGGAGCCCACGCCTGGCATCGAGGGTGCTGAAGGCGAGAGAGTCCTTACAGCCCACCGCAGCAGGCACAGAGGTACCGACCGCATTTTCCTGGCGACTAAATTCCCATTTTGCAAAACGTTATTGCGATGCAAACTCTTTAAAGCAAGCAATATGGTAAACCCTGGTAAGATTTATTTATTTTTTACAAGAAACCATCAACTGGGTCCTTCCCCTCCCAGAAAGCCCTTGCCTTCCGTACAGAAATCCAGCAGCCAAGTATCCCACGCTGATGGGATCTAGACCCTATTACGACAGGTTTTGAAGAAAATTGAAGGAAGGCTCAGTGATGTGAATAACAGCACTAGACTCCTATGCAATTTTAACAGAAAGGCCCTACCACGATGTCTTTACCATTCCATATTCACCCAGCATACAGATGTCTTCAATTCTTTCATATTATGTGAGATACCATTAAAAGCCGCTTTCCATGACATTTCAGTGACAAACAGCTACAGTGATGAACTTGATAGCATTTCATATTTGCAACTGTTAACACGTTTCTGCACGGGCATCTTTGCAAGGAACCTGTACACTGTATCTGAAAGGATGATGTCTTGTTCAGATAAAACACTGACATTAAAATGACAGGCTGTCTTGGCCAAGGTTACACAAATTGTATTCAAGCGGATACCTAATGACAATGCTATGAATTCTGCAAGCTTTCTAGAATGTAATTTAGCTATTCAAAATAATCACTGCACTTGTGTTTAATTTGCAGACTACATGAGAACCATTTTGTCAGTCCTAGTAATGCAAGAAGACTATTTCCCTAGAAACCCACCCCTCTACCCTCCACCCCAAAAAAGGAAAAGAAAAGGAGGAAAAAAAAAAAAAACCAAACAATAGAGGAAAAGACAAAACCCATATGAGTTTTAACAGTAATATTTAAGCACCTTACTTTTCTATAGTTTCAAATCAAATACGTGACAGCACAAAACTAAAAGCAGTAAAGGATATACTTTGCTAAAAAGGATCTCCTGTCATCTCATGTATTACAATAAAAGGTAATAATATGTTCAGCACTTTTTCTGTGCACCACTTTTTAAAAAATCAGCAGACAATAGCTGATCAGAAGATAAAGGAGTTTAAAAAAAAAATCTTCCAGTGTAGTAGTAAGCAAGAGAGAAATGCAGTATTAATTTTATGTAACATAATGTCTTAATATGCAGTTTATCTTGACTTTTTCACATGATTTGTCCTGTCATTTGCATAGCAAGCTCTCATTCCTAATTTCACAGTCATTATGCACTGATGTCCTGATTTCTCAGCATCACTAATTTTGATGAACTAAAAATGGTTCCTGAAGGTCAGATGCATGTACACTGCACATCTCCCCGTGTTGTTGTGTACATGTTGTGTGCTAGGGCCAGACACTGCCTCGAAAACATTTGTCTGAGCAAAGTCTAGCACAGGCTCGCACGCCTCCGACATCCCATTAATGCAAACACGGCGCGGTCCTCTGTGCGTTCCCCGTGGCACAGCGCCTTCCCACTTATCTAACGTGGTCCAGGCAGGTGTGAACACAGGCAAATGAAGATTTAATTACAGGTCAAATGCCAGTCCCACCAAAGCCAGCGGCCGTTCTCCCGTGGCCGACGCGGCTTGCCCGTGCCTGCGGGAGAGCCCCCGGCCGGCCGGCCGCCGCACCGTGCCACCGCCTGGCCACGCAGGGCCAGCTCCGAGGACACTGAGTCACCAGGATGGGTAATCCCATTAATTCAGAATATCTTAATCCGTAGTCTTTTAAAAACTTTTCTGGGAGTAGAAAATTATTTAATTAAATACTGCCGTCACTATCTTCGCCCCGAAGCATGACTCACCTTCATTATTCTCATCCCTAGAGAAGTTTACTTTACCCTCGGGTTTGTACTACTTCTCATTGAAGTTGGACTGAGCAAACAGAAAAGGAAGCATGTTTAAGTATGTTTTCTGTGCCCTTCTTGGAAGACAGACAACACAAATACTCTTCAGTCAGATTTATGACGACAAGCAGGGATACAGACAGGAATAGGGTGGGGTGCTGTAAACCCTACACATCAGTGATTAATACGAAGGGCCGCATTCTGCCGTCAGCTATGCAGAGACAACTCCCATTCACTTCCATGGCTTTTTTGCACGTTTATCTTGGGATAAATCTAAGGATTTGGCCCTACCTTTGAAAACTGGCCATGTACCTTCTGGTGAAGAATCTCCTAGCTGCACACTCTTTGCTACAACAGAAGCACTTAACCAGAAAGAAAAAAAAAAAAAAAAAAAAAATATATATGTATATCTGGCACACCTAGGAGTACAAGTTTGTGTTGACCCGTTCAACTTCATTTTACTATCTGAAACCACATTTTCACACCACATCTGCGCCTCTGAAGAAGGTCCTGCCTTCCATTTATAAACACGGCTAACAGCCACATTTAGCCAAAGTTTGTGCTTCAGCTTATCACGAAAGCAACTTACGGAAGCCTTTTCAAACAAATTCAAATAAACCAGAAACTACCGTGTTAAAAACAACACGCACGCCCCGGACAAGCGTGGGCACATGTACAGTTTGAGGGCTTTAAATAGTTAAGAATGATGGCCTATATATCCACTCTCTTAACTCCCAACGTCCAACTTTTTCATGTAGCTAGTCCCTGGTAATACTAGGAATCAAAGGGCATGCAGCACCAGCAATAGGCTATTATAGCCCACACTTTATTACCCATTACTACCGAGGTCATTAGCGGTAAGAGTGATTGTACCGGTCTTAACCTATTGATCATTGTAACTACTATCATTTAATCCCGTGTTGAATGTCTGGAAAGCTGCTAAAGGCACACAAGAGAGAGTGCTTTAGCGATGAGAAATATAGCCAAAGCTTGGAAATTACACTTTGATTCATAAAATCTAGCCAGTGGTTTAAATCAATAGTATTTAAAACAGTCATGTAAGTTCTTAACTACGGCTCTCTAATATTTATGGGTCCCTTTTTGAGTGTATTCAGTCAAAACTAAACTTTATTTTAGATACTGTGCAATATACTTTACATTACGTTAGATAAAAAATATTTATTTCTGATATTTTGTCCGATAGTAAATGAAAACTAAACTGAGGGCTATAAATTCATTTTAGATTTCTATCTCTCAGATGTCAACTTAAATGTGTTGCCAAAAAAAATTACAAACCAACTTTAAAAATGGCTTAACTGTTTAAGTACATGAAAATGAGCATGTTTTATGAGTTAACAATGAATCACAGAAGGCAGTTTATGAAGAACTAAAATAATTCTGTCTTACTGCCTTCAGGGAGTTGAAGTTCAAATTAAACTACTGGCAGATACATTTAAAGAATGCTAAGTTAGCATGCAGAGCAGAAATCAGCCTTTTCTTTTTTTAAGTTGTTTATTTCTATTTTCCACATGAAACACGATTGTTGCTATTGATATGATTAATGAACTACTTTTGGTATTGTTGACTGATAACAATAGGGTGTGGTAGATACCCAGCTGCATGTAAACCTGGCAGCAAAGGTAAAAATACAGCTGCAATTTGGCTTTCGGAGCTGTACTAGTATAGACCTGCTGACATGCTAATACCATCAACGGCAAAAAATGTCTTTAATACTCACAACTGTTTTTTTCAGACACTATTTCTCCCAGGGTTTTGCCTGCTGTTCCTCCGCATCCCCCAAAGCCCTCGCGTCCCCCGCAGTCCCCTCCGCTACCCCCAGTTTCAAGCTTTGGAAACACACCGTATTTTGGCGAGACTGACCCAAGGAAAAAACTTCCGCAAACTTGGGCCAAGTTCACCTTTAACTTCACAACGGAGTTACAGCAGAGATGCATTTGTCACTCCTCCATACAACCCAGACAAGGGTCACGGGGATGAAAATGATTTAGTCCTATTTAATCATCTCCATTCCCCCATTTTCAGTGATATTAATATAATTAAATACTAGCTAAATAATTTCAAGTAGTTTAATCTTGTATGAAGTGAAAAAAAAGAATGCCATTTTCACACAACGTGCCTTTGATGTTGGATACGGCTGTGGTCCTGTTAACTGTTAGCAGGCATGCATGGAAGACGGGGAGGATTTCCTTAATTCATAAAGAATAACTCTGCCAGAAAATCCTTTTCTCCTGCGATGTATGTTCAAACTTGATTTCGGTAAGACCTCATACCAGGCACCTTGGATTTCCAAACAGCAATCCTTCAGTTAAAGATTTTGTGATAAAAGTTAAGCAGAGCAAAACATAGGTGAACATAGAAAGAGCAAGTAGCTGAGGAACGGTTAAAAATACTGGGCTACAAATAAAAATAGATACGGCTAGGCAAAACCAAACCATTAACTTGAGCTGTCTTACTAGAAAGCTATTAGGTGCAATACATTTGAAATGTAAAAAAATCTCAGCCAAAACAATGCAAAACAGCTTTGCTCATGCCACAGGAAAAGATAAACCACTGATACACTGGCAAACAGGGAAGTACGATGCCACAAGCCAGAACAGAGCCCAGCAAAATAAGAAGTGCTGAAGGCAGGACCTGCTCCCATCCCGAGACTAAAACATTTCCGACATAATATTTCATCCTCCAAAATAACAGCAACAAAACGCCGCTGTTAGAATTATTCACTAATAATGTTGCTGCTTCGTTATACAAAATGGAATCTCACTTTTAGACTTATTTTGCCATGACAGAGTACATGCAAAACACTGCAATGCTGCTTCGTTATACAAAATGGAATCTCACTTTTAGACTTATTTTGCCATAATACAGTACAACACATTAAGACAGGTAATGTTTATTATATTAAAGTAAAATCAGCTAAGTAGTCTATCATTAGCATAACTGTTCTCTCCGTAACAATACAACTCCCTATTAAGGGGGGGAGGGGGGGGGGGGAAAA